AAAATCCCATTTTTAATCAGATTTTTTTCTCAAATACGGTACTTTCAAACCTAATTTCTTTAGTTTAAAAGATCAAATTAATTTTTTTTTTATAATAAAATGAAACCGTAGGTGTTTCTTAATTTTTTGTTATCAAATATGCCAAGATTTCTTTGAAATTAACAGAGAACTCAGGGTAAAAAGCAAAAGTCCTTAAAATTGTGTATATTATTAAAAATATGGTGTGGCCATCGCACGTCTTTTTCCGTAAATCTCACATTGTTACCAAAAAATAATAGCAAAGTTACACGGGAAAATAATTAATTAAATAGCTTAAAGAAAATTTCAAATTAAGTAGTTAACTGGTAAACCATTATTTTATTTTCATTATTTTCAGTGGCCTAGGAAAATGGCCAGAATCTAATTTAATTTAACACCAGCTGTTAATAAGAAACAGAAACAATTGACTAATTTTTTATCCTATTGCAACGTTTATGATGTTACGTTTTGTATAAAATGAATAATAATATATACCCATGGTTTTCAAATTATTCTATAATTTTTAAAGTAGCAAATTTTTGGCACCGCTGGATTGATTTCGCAAAAGAAAGAAGTCTACCTCTCACTTTTTACTGCCGTAGGGTTTTTTTTAGTTCGTTTATGTTTTGTGCTAAAAAATTACATTGCAGACCATGACTTTTTTCGTGTTTCTGGTGCTTTTCTCATTTCTGCCTCTAACTTTCTTATTCGATCTCTTGATGTGATAACCTCTAAGTTGGCGATTAATTTTTTATATTCGTTAATGTTGGTGACTAAAAACATTTACATTGCAGACTATGTCGGAAAAACATTTTAGAAACATATGAAAAATATGTTCCTTTTTGTATTTAAAGTATTGAAACTTTTAAATCAACTTATTTTTTTCACAGTTTTTCCCTTTGAAGGAGGAGAAAGTATTGCCTTAGGCCGAAAAAGGATGTGTAGAGTTTTCTCTCGATTGGCACTTTTTTAGGTCTTCTGTGCTTTAAAAAATCGAAATTTTTACCCCCAACCTGGATCCGCCCTTGCAACAGTCAAAGAGCATCTAGGTGCTTTGAAACCTTTGTAGGATCTGGATATTTCCTTACCCTTTATTGCCAAACGTCAACTGGGAAAAATCAAATTTAGCAAATTTGCTAAAGCTAAGTTAAACCCGGAAGTTAGGGCAGGTAGTGTTTTTCCGTCTACTGGAAACATTTTTTTTGCGCCATTCTAAAATTTATCACTAAAGTTAAGGATTTCCCGCTAACCTTTTAAACAAATTACTAATGCTCGTCTGTCATACAACATTGGGACATAAAGAGTTAATGCTATGTATTGAAGTGAGCATAATTAATCAATTACCGACCGTTTGAATATAGAATCACTCTTCAGACTGTGCCAACAAGGTTTAGATTTCATTTCATTATATGTGAGAAAAAGAACTTAGACTAAAACGTACATTAATCGCCCTTATTCCTGACTTTTCATTTGCGTCGGAATTTTCCGAATTTCCTTCCTCATCACGGGAGAAACTTCTTTCAATTTCAATTGCAAGAGAAGGGACATACATTAATTTCAATGATACTTTTTTTTGTGATAGCAGGATTATATTAAATGGGATTAGATGATAAAAAGTTACAAAAATAAAGACGCTATCAGTAAAGTAATCAAAACTATTCTTTACAAAAATATTTTGGATAAGTTTTACGCACCCTGTAAAACCCACAAGTACGAATTTTTATAGAAAACTAAAATAAACATTTCTCCGGAGGGATTGATTTTTGGCAATGCTGGCATGTCTAATGCCGTTTCGGCATTTCGCCACGTTCAGTGGTGGGTTTCGTTGATCTTGCCTCACCCTGCTTATATCCCTGATTTATCCAACTTATTAGTCTAAATCCTCACCAATTCTCGTTTAACGTAAATTACAAAATCTCAGGTAGTTTTGTCTCTATGTCAGATACGTTTTGGCACATCCGATATTATACAGTGGTGGGTTTGTTGTTTCCTCTCACCGAACAATGAAACAATCACTGATGATGGCGGAAACGTAGAAACGCATCTCACAGACCGACCCAGTGAGGATAGGCAGAAGAATTTACAAAAATCTCACGTAGTTGGTTCAGTATGTAAGATTACCCCATATTCCTCAGTGATGGAGTTTTTTTTCGCCCTGCTTATATCCTGACCAACCACTGAACAAGGCGAAATGTCAAAATGCGCTTGACAGATCAAATTACAAAATTTCACGCAGTTTCGTCGATATTTCGTTTTGGCATCTCCTATTTTTGGCAACAGCGAGAATAGACAGACCAAATTACCAAAATCTCACGTTGTTTGGTCGTTATGACACGTTATGGCGCAACCTTTATTATACGGTGGTTGGTTTGTTTTCCCTCACTCTGCTTATAACCCTGACCAACCACTGATAATGGTTGAAATGCTGCGACTGCCAGAAGAACCCAGCGAAGCTAGGCAAACGACATTACGAAATCTCATGCAGTTTGGGTGGTATGATAAACATGTTCTAGCACTTCCTACATTATAGAGTGATGTCTATTTCCTATACTTCTACTTGTATAACAACCAATCGCATCTGACAGAGGAACCCAGTCAGGATAGGCAGACTAAAATACTATATCTCGCGAAGATTGGACCGTATGTTAGACACCAAAATCTCACGTAGTTTGGTGGGTATGTCAGATATGTTTAGGCACAACTTATGTTTATACAATGGTGGATTTTGTTTTCCTCACCCTGCTTATAACCCTGACCAACCACTGATAATGGTTGAAATGCTGCGACTGCCAGAAGAACCCAGCGAAGCTAGGCAAACGACATTACGAAATCTCATGCAGTTTGGGTGGTATGATAAACATGTTCTAGCACTTCCTACATTATAGAGTGATGTCTATTTCCTATACTTCTACTTGTATAACAACCAATCGCATCTGACAGAGGAACCCAGTCAGGATAGGCAGACTAAAATACTAAATCTCGCGAAGATTGGACCGTATGTTAGACACCAAAATCTCACGTAGTTTGGTGGGTATGTCAGATATGTTTAGGCACAACTTATGTTTATACAATGGTGGATTTTGTTTTCCTCACCCTGCTCATAACCCTGACCAACCACCGATAATGGCTTAAATGCTGATGCTTTTCTGACAGAATAACTCAGCGAGGATAGGCAGACCAAATTACCAAATCTCACGTAGTTTGGTCGATATGTTAGACACATAGACACAGTTTTTGCACCTTCTATATTATAAAATGGTGATTTTTTTCTAGCCCTGCTTAACGCTAAACAACCACTAAAAACGCGTTTGACAGACCAACACAGCGAGGACAGGCAGCCCAAAATTATCGGTAACGATCAAATTACATATTGCGTGGTTGCATTTTACATTAATAATAAACGATTTAAGCTCACTTCAATATAAAAAATACAAGCATATCCTGCTTCCCTAATAATCAAATCTTCTAGTTAAGATTTTTTCCGTTTAAATCTAACTCTTATTATAACTTATAATAATTTTGTACATCTATCTGCACCGACAGGCAAAAAATCCTGTCCTTAATTTGTCTTATTATGCCACTTAGTGCTGAGGATGTTGCGCGTGGTGTGGTACTTATTGATGATGGACGTTCCATCAGGTATGCGGCCTTCGGAGTTCCCTACGAAACTCTGCGAGACGCCGTTAGACGATTTCGAGAAACTGGGTTCTATCATAGAAGGCTCGGTTCCGGACGCCCTAGGGTAACAGAACCACAGGATGGCCGTTTATTGACGTTGAGAAGTTTGCGAAACCGGCACCTTACTGTTGTTCAAGCGATTCGTCAGCTCCAGGAAGTTCAAGGTGTCCAAATTCTGAACGCACTACTCGAAGAAGATGAAATCAGTATGGACTGATGTCTTTTCGCCCCGTAAGAGGACCAGAATTGACCAAAACACACAGAGCTGTATGGCTCTCATTTGCTCGAGAACACAGCTATTGGTCATTGGACGATTGGTCTGCTGTACCTTTTACAGATGAGTGTAGATTTGCTCTACGATCTCCAGATGGGCGTGAAGGAGTGTGGAGAAGGCGAAATGAAAGGTACGAAGCCTGTAATTTTTCTCATAGCCAACCTTTTTAACGTAGCTCAGTGATGGTGTGGGCGGGAATGTCTATGGAGACTCGCGCAGGGTTGGTTGTTGTTCGTGGAGGTTCTTTGACGGCCACTCGCCATGTGGATGAAATTTTGCAAAATCATGCGTTTCCTATCCTCGATGAAATCAGCGACTATTCCAATGCACGATAATGCCCGTTCGCATGTCGCGCTCATAGTACAAACTTACCTTCACCAGCATAACTTCAAGGTCTTACCCTGGCCAGCCCGTTCTCCAGACTTGAACTGCATCGAATTTATAAGATAACCTCAAAAGACGAATAAGAGCACGTCCATCCTTCCCATGTTCACTTCCTGATACACTGCACGATCTTGAAAGGACTCTTCGTGAAGAATGGGCTAACCTCCAGCAAACAGACATTTCCAGACTGGTAGAAAGTATGCCGAGGCGTCTTCTAATTCTAAATACGTGATATTGAAATGTTAATAAAAAAATAAAACAAATTTTGTCTGACCGTCTTTTTTATTTTCCTTAGTAATTTACATTTTTTACAACTTTTTAAGCGAAGACTCAATTATTAAACGTTGAAAAACTTGAAACTGTTCAACATATAAAAATATATATAAATCAAGTTATATTACAAGGGGGTGAAATTTTTTGCCTGTCAGTGTATATGAATATATTTTATGCTGTTTTCATCATCAAGAGTGTGAAGATAAAATTGTGATGAGTGTCTCAGAGTCAGCAGATGTAAGGTTCCTTTAGGTGAATAGTCCAGGACGCGGGCATACCGTCTGACGGAAGTGTCTGCCGGGGGCGGTGCGGCAGGTTTCGCTGCGTTGTCGGGCAAAATGACGGTGTGCGCACTTCGTACCCCTTCCCCGTGTCGGCTCGTATAGTCGCGCATTCGGCACGTTACCGTTCCCCCGCCGACTCCAGTCTATCACCAGCTCCCGCAGACTCTGCACACTCCCTTTCAGCCGGTGCGTGAGTTCGCAGACATTCGCAGTTCGAAACATCCCCAAATTCGGTCTTTGTTCCTTACGCCTCCTGGCGCGGACTGCATTATTTTAGACGTTACGCGCAACAGAAAAAAATGTTTTTCTGAACGCCGACGCGCTTAAAAAAAAAAAAAAAAAAAAAAGGTCCGTCATGGCCAAAGAACCGAGGAAGACGATAGACTTCGCCCAAGACTTCGCTCTGGAGAACCGCGAGGACAAACATGCCTCCACGGAGGAGGAGACTGAAAAGCTCGTCAGATACATTGATGACAACATCATCGGCAAAGAACAGACCTTCGCCGGGCCTTTCGGAAGACGCAAAGGTGAGCCTCTAAAAATTATAAAATACTCGAATTTTTCATTCCAAAATTTCTAAAAGCTGTGGAAGCACTTGCAAAAAACAAAAAAACGAATTTTCAAGAAAACACGAGGAAGTTTGACCACGTGTTACTCTTTATTACCGGCCTTCTTTCAACGCTGCTTTGTGTTTGTAATTCACGTAAGCACAGACCAAAAGCACGATTTGTAAATTGTTAGCGGCTATTGTCTTTGTTGCCCGCTATTGTAATTTGACTTCGATAAAAAAAAAACAAAAAACATCCATAGCTTTTAAAACTACGCTCTTAATTTTTTTCCCTCCATCCACTTTTATCATCATCATCCATATTACCGCCTTCTCTGAACTTTCCTTGTCACCGTGAAAATGATAATTACAATTTAAGATCGCCCACTTGTAAAAACGCCGGCATATTAGATTATAATGGTATATTTACGACCAACCTAGTTTTCGACTGGGTGTTTTCTATCTACGAATATTGTTTTAATCGTGTGGAACGATAGTGGAGACGATTTATTGCGAGATTGGGACGGCACTTTTCGCCTTGGACCTACGTCAAATTGGTCGGATTAAACGAGACTCCTTCGGTTAGGGGTCAGTTATGCCAATTTTTTTTACCCCCCAAACAAGTTATTTTTGTATCAGTCTAAGGCTGCAAGGGTTAAGGAATGAGTGAAAATCGAAAAATTTGTGTCCCTTTTTTTTTAAAGGCGCTAAATTTGATAACATCTGTCAATTTGTCCATAATCGTCTTTCTCTTTCTTCAAAATTTAAGACTACCTGTTTGGCACGTAATCGTACAAATCCAGTTTTTTTTTTTTTTTTTTCAAATCGGGCATTGTTTTTGACACATAAAACTAGTACCATCCTACCGTCTTGTAATATTTTTTTCGAAAAGAAATAGAATTTTATTTGCCTAAATGTACACTTACGTTAAATTCTTTTCTATTGGCCCCAAATGGCTCAATATGATTCCTCCTGTATTAAAAAGTGAATTAAGAAAAATAAATTGCAATTAAAATCAAATTTTGGCCCTTTAACATCGTTGGTGTCTGTTTAAACCTAAATTCATTTAAATTTACTTAATCATTTAATTATTCATTTATCCTACTTCTATTTGAGTACTTATAAAGTAACGCATTTTTTGTAATTTCTCATTTTATACAACAATTTATTACATATTTTAAGACTAAATTTACAGTGAATTCCCCTCAACCATCTACTTCAAAAAATGTTTTCAAAAATTTTGATGACAGAGCTTAAACAGATATACTCTCGGGTACTCTCACATATACTCAGAATATACTCTCATTTTTATTTTTTATTGAGGCTTGATTTTAATTTTCTTTATATAATTAAGTTTTGTAAATATTTTATTGTTTGTATTGTTGTTATTAAATACAAATAAAAAATACAGAAAAAAATTGACGGAAAAATAATGAATGAAATCGGTCAATGAATCAGTTTAATTTTATGCTCGTTATGAGTGTCTGTTTCGCTTGTTGCATTTTTTCATCGAGATAGTTCTTAAACGAAATTTTCAAGTAACCCAATCTTATGATACGGTGCCCAGATTACAGGTTAATAGTATCAAGTCGAAAAAGCGAAGTTTTTCACGTCTGTTGGACTTACGATCTTGGACTTAAGTACGTGAACAACTTGTTAAGAAAAAAGCTTGAAGGTTTTTTTTGTTACCAAAACCTTCGTTTTCTGTTCTAAACCGTCACAGAATAGTATTTATTGTTGTGAGTTGCCAGTAGCAGTTACCAATCAAGCAGTGTTACTACGTTGTGCGCGTTATAAGTTTAATGCGGCCTCTTTGCTTTTCGAAGAATCGTGTCGACATTTAAATATAATGGAACGCATTCACACCTCAGCCTTTTGCCGTAGCGGAAGCTCAAATTTTCGCTTTTCATCGTGCTAAAAGAATAAATAAATTAATGAATAGAAAAATTGCCAATATATTTCCTTTTTTATAAGTTGTGTATGATATTTTACAATTTTGACATGACTTTCCTTCATGTCAAATTACTGGAGACCGAGGTTCCAAGGGTCCTTCTCAAGGTGGTCTATTCTGGAATCGTAGTAAATATACACGCTTCGCATTCTTCACCGCACCAACGCCCTTGGCCGATAATAAAGGATTACGGTTTTTAACTTGGGAATCCGAGTGAATTACTTAAACAGAGTCAAATTGAATGTTATTCGGAAACTTGTCAACATAAATTGCCATTACGCCAAACCGGCACGAACGGCCGAAGTCGTATTTGGAAGGTTTGTCATCCGTCTTTCCTTGTTTCCGTGCGGTTTTCTCTTGAGAATCCGGTAAACAAGGGGGCCAGACGAAGGACTCGAAAATGTGGAGTTGCATGTTTCCGCTTCCGTTCTTCTACCTCGTGTTTTTATTTTTTTTAAAAATGTCTAGCGCTTATTTTAAACCCACATCGCTTTCTAACTAGCAAGGCATCAGATATTTCAATTAAACCTTTTTTTTAATACCAGGTAGACAAATATTCGAGCTTTCTCGCCAATGGGACCTAGGATGACTAAAAACATATATAAAGTCTTTTTTTAAAAATATTTTTTGCAAATATTTCATAGGTATTATATATTATTCGATTTGATTTTTTATCCACAATAAGAAAATAACATTCAGGATCGTATTAATTGAAATTAGATATATAAAAAGTTCAAAAATCAAAACACGCTTTCAGGCATGTAGGCCAAAATTATTGTACTTGTATTTTGAAAAAAAAAATCGTTTTAACCACCCTCCCAAGCTCTCAAATACGGATTTGTATAGGAAACAAAAAATAAGAGTTTTGGTCTGGTTCTCAGGTGGCCATCATGCCATGCATAGCGCTGTTTAGGCATTTCGTCGGGTTCAGGGTGGGTTTCTCTGATGTTGCCTCACCCTGTTTATATACCTGATTTATCGAACATATTAGTCTAAATTCCCCACCGATGCCCATTTAACATAAATTGCAACATGTCAGGTAGTTTGATCACTATCGGATACGTTTTGGCACATCCAATGTACGGTGGTGGTTTTGCTCTTTCCTCGCCATGCTCATACCACTAGCCAGCCACTGAAGATGGCTGAGAACGGAAGATCGTACCAAATTACAGGTTCGAGAAACAAAATCGAAGGTTGTTTGGTGAATATATGTTTTGACATAACCTGTATTACTTAGGGCTTGTGTTGTTTTTCCTCGCCCTGCTTGTAACCCTGGCAAACCACTGAAGAAGGCCGAAATGCCAAAACGGAAAAAACACGAACCTCGACTTTACTCCTTTTTCTTTTCTTTTATCTCTCTCCCTCCCACCCCTCTCTTTCTTTCTTTTTTCTCTTTTTTTATTTTTTATTTTCTTTAACCTATTACCCATAATTAGAAAATAATATTCAGGGTCGTATTAAATGAGAATAGATATATAAAAGTTACAAATTTAAAGCCCTCGAATAGGAATTTTTATAGAAAACAAAAAAATAGCCATTTGTGGTATGATTTCATCATACAAGCCGGTGATTAAGACTACTGTTTAAAGTTCAAAGCATGATTTATAGATAATAGAATAAAGGCGAGCCTGTTCGAATCGGTCACTGTCATTTCTTTCAAATTTATCTTGACAAAAACAAAAACAAATTAAAATATAACCAAGGCCCAGTGTGATAACTTGACGGAACTTTCTTATCAATTAAATAGTTTTTATCTAAGGCCTTGGTTGAGATGAAAAAGCTAGTTTCTTGAGCGAGAAGAGGTGTTGGTGTCCAAGTGGATCACGATAATCAAATCACGATAGCTCAAGTGGTTAGAGCAGCTGCGTATTGAGCCGAAGGTCGTGGGTTCGAATCCCGCTCGAGACTCTAGCCTTTTCTTCTCAGTCAAACCCTTAGATCTTTCCCTCTCCATCACTCTCTCTCTCTCTCTCTCTCTCTCTTTCTCTCTCTTTCTCTCTCTTTCTCTCTCTTTCTCTCTCTCTCTCTTTCTCTCTCTCTGTCTCTGTCTTTTTAATTATTTAATTTTCTTAAACCCATTATGCATAATTAGAAAATAATATCCAGGGTTGTATTAAATGAGAATAGATATATAAAAACCTACAAATTTAAAGTCCTCAAATACGAATTTTAATAGAAAACAAATATGTCATTTTTGGTATGGTTTCTCAGGGGGCATTTTTTTCCCCTTACGATGTCCATTGTTCCACAAAATAATTCATAATTCTAATTTATCCAAATTCAACTTTATTACAATTCTTGGAAGGCGGAATCATTTTACTTTCCGCCTATGTCAACACTATTGAGATTTTATGCCATGATGTGTGAGAACAAGAAGGATGAAGTCAACAAAAACTCCTCAAACGTTTTACGTTAGTACTACGGTTATCATTCATTTAAGAGAAGTGGGTCCATGCCATTTCGTTTAGTTTCTAAGAATATAAGGCATTATAAAGTTTCATATTGATCAGTTGAGTCGTTTCAAAATTAACACTGTTTTGTGATTTTCAAAAAACCCGAAGGCGAAGGGTAAAAATTTTGAGGGAAATTTTTTTCATTTTGATAAAAATTTGTACTCAAGGGCTTCTCGGGGTGCAAAACACGAATATCAGCTTTATTTATTCCTTTTAAAGCCCTCAATTACGAATTTATATAGGAAAGAAGAAAATAGACATTTTTGGTCTGTACTCTCAGGGGCACTTTTCTTTTTTCGCCGATGTCTGGAATCAGTGGAATAGTTTAAAAGTTATCACTATTTTTGTGGTTACGGAGTACATTCGAAACAATAAAACGACTTAATGGTCGTTCGATCTGTCGACTATTTGATCTGATATGTTATATTTTTAAAAATTTAACATCCGTTTTTACTAATCCAAAAATTTTTTTTTTCACATCTCTCTCACTAGTGACACGATGGCGACCTGATCCATGCCTTCTTGAGTATCTCCAGTATCTTGGTAGCGAAGGAAGACCCTTCGGACAGTTCTGTG